GTTTGGTTTATAGCCTTCCTGTTATGTGTCAGTATGTACATATTTATGTGTCTGTATTGTAGACAAACAACATTCAAAGACATGTTTCTGTCTCACACACACTGCACAAAGTCCACATTACATTTAAGTGGCATCTGTTAAAATGCCTTTTCATCATAAACACAGAGACGTGGTGGGTGCATCTGGGTGTCTGCTGAACGAGAATTCAAATGAACGGAAGTTGCCTTCTTACTAAGTTACCATTTATTCCCGTGATGATTGTGACACATATCATCTCATGGTGATTGTTTCTTCCTCTAAAGCATTGCATACTTCTGACTTACATAATTTCTGAATTACCTGGACCGCCCTGGTACTGACCTCCATAACATGGCGTGTACAGTGAGCCCCCTGTTATAGTGCTGTTGGGCTACAAGATTTCCTTTGGTGACAGAAATATCCATCTTTCCTTCACATTTACAATTTAATGGTTGGACTAATTCTCTACACAGTTTGTGCCATTATGCATATAGGTCTAATCATAGGCTTTTTATAAAGAGAGGAAATTTACAGTGTGCCAGACATGTATTTTAGCACTTGTTATAAAAAGACATGACTTTCCAAATATATTCACATCTACATTACAAGTAACAGTAGTCTTTTCTTCTGATGATTCATGTATGATGGTCTCATTCTCACCTCTTTTGATGGCCATATCCAAACCTATGGATCAGCCTTGATTCTTTACTTTTTCCCACTGGGCATTTTAAGTCTACCAGCAAAATGTATTTCAAGACACTTTTCTAAATCCAAGCACTTACTCACCATGTCCCCCTCTTAACACCCTGTTTCAAGGCCCCATTATCAGCTGTCATCATCTGTGAGCCTCTAATTGGATCTCTCTGCTTCTTTCTGCTTTTGCCCCTCTGTAGTCTAGTTGTTCTTCTACACAGCGGCCAGACTAATTTTAAAGTCAATGATAAGTTAAGACAGTGTTTTCTTGCTTTAAAAATGTACAGTGCTTCCCACTTCGTTTAGGATTAAAGTGAAACTCTTACCATGCCTGGAAGATTCTACATGCATGCATGTCTGCGTCTTCCTTGACGCTCTTTTCGCATAGCCATGCATCCTAGCCTCGCTGGCTGGCCTTGGTGTGCCTCGAACAGGCCAGGCACATACAGGTACTTGCTGTTCCCTCTGCATGGAAGGTTCTTCTCCAAGGTGTTTGCGTAGCTGGTGCTGTTTTGTTCAGATACTTGTCCAGTTGCCTTCTGGCCCACCTATTTCTTCGCCTTCTTTACTTTCTGGATAGCACTCATGTCTCTGATTATCTAAAATATCATCTTTCTCCTCCTCCTGCAGAGTATAAATCTGTGAGGGCAGGAGCTCTGTTTCGCTCCTCGCTCAGTGGGTGGTGTCTAGAACAGTGCTTAACCTGAATATCCCTGAAGACTTAGTTTAAGACTTTTATGACACTGCATGTTAAGTTTCTGACTGAGTGAAATTATAAGTACATACTGAGAACTAAAATTCTTTTTTACTTTTAGAGGCATTTTGTAAGCTGATGGTGTTACCTTATTAATAGGTTTCACTTAAAAAGAAAAATTAGAAGCATTTTTTTATTTTAAATTGAAACTCCATTTAAAGGCTCACATGCCTTTCAAATAGGATTCTTAAAACTGCAGTATAAGAAATGAGAGAAAGGAGAAGTTAACATTTGGTATTAATATACATATGTATTTTTGGTACTTAGTTTTATTATTCTCATGGGAGTGTAAAACAAGCCAATTAAATGTGAGGTTATGTAGTGCACTCTAATTTCATATCAGATTTGTGCTTTGATTTTAAAAAACTAACAATTTCATTGAAAATGCCTCATAATCTACAGTTACATCTCTTTCAGTTTTGTCCTAGAATTTCTAGTTATTCGTCAACTTACATGTATTTTACTTCGTTATAGAGGAAGTATTTCATGTAATTGTAACCTTAAATTTTAACTTAGATTTTCCTTACTTAATCTTGTTTTTGATAAAAGGTCATTAAGGAGGCAGAAATGCTTTGGCAAAGTCTGATACGAATAGCATTCTTCAACAAAACCAGACCATTTCCATGCAAGATTGGCTCTGACATACAGATTAGTTATGCAGACACTTCAAAATAAGTTGTCTGTTATCTTACTTCAAAAATAAATCTTTTGATATAGTGTATGTTCTTTAGAACTTTTTAATCATGACTGTGTTACAGTATGGTAACATATTGTCAGTATTACTCATGATTGTCAGCTGTCTAGGCCACTGCTTACTGAATCAGTATCAAATTATAAATTGAATTGAATTGATGTAGGAATCAAGTAATGAGACCTGTTGAAAAGGAAAACTTCCTCTACACACTGAATATTTAGACATCAAATATGTAGATTTTTCTCCCAATGCCAATCAGTTCTCTGACACCAGCTGGGTATCTTACAATTAAATTGAATTCTGACACTGTCTACCTGAAATGAGCATCAGATCCCACAGAGTAAGGGCTCAGTTCCACAAGATTCTTACTGCAAATGCCAATTGCAAGTAGTAGGTTTCTAGATTACCCCCACTTCTGTCCTACAAATTAAGGGTTCCCTTGACTCCCTCCTCAGGTTTGATAATTTGCTATAATGACTCACAGAACTCCAGGGAACACGTTTACTGGGTTATTATATAATGAAGGATGTGATAAAGGATACAGGTGAACAGCAGATGATGAGATATAGGACGAAGTCTGGAAGGGTCCTGAATGCAGGAGCTTTTGTCTCTATGGAGTTGGGGTGTGTTCACTAACCTGGAAGCTCTCCAAACTCCTGTGGTTATGGTTTTTCTGGTGGCAATGTTGCGTGGGCATGATTGATTAAATCTTTGACAGCTGGCAATTGGTCTCAACTGCAAGCCCCCTGCCTCCCTTGTAGGGAGGGTGTGTGGTGGGGAGCTGAATGTTCCAACCCTCTAATCACGCGGTTGGATGTACTAGCAGCCAGCAGCCGTTCTGCGGTTAGAGGCTTTCCAGAAACCACTTCATTGACGTGAACTTAGGTGTGGTCGCAGGGGCCTTGGTATGAGACACAGAAGACTGCTCTTCCCACCTTTATGTATTTCAGGTTCAGGAGAAAAACCGGATGTGATAGTTGATGCTTCTGTCGCTCTTCTCACTTAGGAAATTGCAAGGGTCTTAGGAGCTCTGGCCAGTGTAAAGACCAAGTGTATTTTATTACATCACAATATCATGCCCCTACTTTTGTAAACTTACATTTTGAAGAAAACTATACATATAGAAAAGTCTGAAAATCAAAGTGAACATACTGTGTAATTACCTAGATTAAGAAATGGAAATAGTTATGCAAGATGATAAGTTCTAGAATCCATACAGCACAGTGCCTATAGTTATATGCTGCAACATTTGCTGAGGGTAGATCTCACATTAAGTGGTCTTAATATCTCACATGGAATAGAAATAATAATATAAATAAAAGGGCTGGAGGAACATTTTGGAGGTGATGGATGTGTTTATGGCACAGATTGTGGTAATGGTTTTCCAGGTGTTTATCTCCAAATTCATCAAGTTGTATACATTATGTACATACAGTTTTTTTATGTTAATTACCTCAGTAAAGTGGTTTAAAAAAAGAAAAGAAAGGGACTGTTATCAGCTTCTCAGAAGCTGCCTTGAAGACTTAGACGATGTAGCCCTTTAACATGCATGTTTTGATGATGCCTATAAAAATAAACTAGAAATTGTTAAAGCTTATTAACTTTCATGGTATTTATTATATTTTGTTCATGAGTTGATGTTATAAGAAAATAACTGCTTAAAATAGGGAACATAAAGCCTGTACATTCGGAAGCATGACGAATTATCTGGAGAAACTTGGAAGCATGACAGAAATTCTGATCTTCTGTGAGGCATCCGTCTCAGAGAGTGGTTTCTGACGAGTGGGATGTTGTCGGGGAAGGGGTTGGAAGTTTCCTCCAGCTTCTGAAAAGAGTTAATATAAAGTCACTTGGATATCATTCACAATTTAATACCTTTATACGTAAATATATACTGAGAAAGGAAAGGGGTTGGGAACTATTCTCATTCCCACCTCTGTCAGCATGCAGATCCTTGGATTTACTGCAGTGCTATGTTTAAGAGGTTATGGAAAATGACCTACATGCCTAGCAGGGAACCGGTGAGATGATTATAGATTATTTCTATATTTTAAAAGGGTTTGTTTTATATATAGACTGACCTGGAAAGGAGTCTTAAAAGTATTTTAAAGAAAATTCTTGTTATTTTACTTTTTCCAAAGATTGTGCCTGCACATAAAGGACCAAATAGTTCCATAAGATATGTAGATATGTTAGGAAAAGTAGTGGAGTGTTGCCCTCGTTCGATCTTGTGAAGACATTTCTTCCAGAGCCTTTTGGCCCGCTTGAGCCTGGGCTGGTGCCTGTCCCGGGAGCTAGGTGGCGGGCATTTCTGAGGGTGTCAGCTCTTGACCAGCCCCCTCCCAGCCCCCGGGGGTTTCCTGCGTCTCTCACCTGGTGGGGGTGGGAGCTCACCTGTTTCCTGCTTTGTCTTTTCCTTTCCGTTTACTCTCTTCTGCTGCATCCCATCCCTTCTCAAGGAGGAGTAGCTTCTTGAGAAAACAGCCATGGGAAATAAAATTTTGAGGCCTTACATTATTTGAAGACACCTTTTTTGTACCCTTATTTTGGCATTGTTTGGCTGGCTGAGGAATTTAAGTTGGAGATCTTTTCCTTCAAGATTTTGAAAGCATCGCTCTGCTTATGAATTGCGGTGCTGTTTTTGAAGCCATTCTGTTACTGTTACCTGTTCCTTTGTGTGGAGACCTGCTTGTTTCCCTTCTCTTTAAGCACGGAAGGTCTCCCCGCAGTCCTCAGTGTTCCAGAGTCTCGTGGGGACTGTGTGCTCTGGGGGAAGGGCCCGCCGCGCTGGGCACTGATGGCCCTTTCAGTAGGGAAACTCACTATCTTTCAGTTGGGAGATTTTCTTGCATTGCTTTTTCATTTGCTTCTAACTACTTTACAACATTTTTTTCTTTTTGGAATTTGCCCTGCTTGGCTGGTCCTCAGAGTTTCTTTTCTCTCTTATTTTCTACCTGTTTTTTCTCTTTTTTTAACTTTCTGAGTAATTTTCTCAACTCTATTGTCTAACCCTTCAATAGAGTTTTCATTTCTTACGTCATCTTTTAATTTCTACTAGTTCTTTTTCTGCAGTTTTTCTTGTTTATGGTTATGGTTGCAATTTAGGATTTTTTTCTTCTTTTATGTTTTCACTTTCCTGCATAGTCTGTTTCTACCAAATTTTCTCTGTTTTGGTCTCTGTTTTTCATGTTGGAAGTTTCCTGGATGTCTTTGTAGACCCTGATGGCTCATGATCAGGGACGAGACACTGAAATGCCGTTCGGGCCCTCAGCATCTGGGTGGGCCATCGGATTGTCGCCTCTACTGCAGAGCAGTGGGCTTCGGCCAGGGCAGTTTTGCCCCAAGGGACATTTTTGGTTTTCACAGCTGAGGGGGTGGGGCTGGCATCTGTTAGTTGGGGAGGCTACTAAATGCTATGTAGCCCAAGTGTCAGAAGTTCTGAGGTTGAAAAACCCTGCTTATAGAGCGACTTAAGCTGGTTTGTTGAGGATTCCCTGGAGCAAATAATCTGTAGGCTGATCAGATTGTGGATAACAACTGATTTCTAGTCTTCTGGGCAGAGGTCGCACTTCTTGCTACTTTGGTTCTGGGAGAATTGTGTCTAGTGTATATAACTGCTTAATTCCCTGTTTTCTCAGCTGGTACACCTGATTCCTAACTTAGGTTCCCTTGGTCCAGAGACCCTGTTTTACCTTTTAGAGCAGGGGTCAGCAAATTGTTAACAGAAAGGGTCAGATAATAAATATTTTAGGTATTATGGGCCATATGATCTCTGATAAAATAGTGTAATTCTGCACTTGTAGTACAAGAGTACATAGATTGTAAATGTGAAGTAATGAGCATGACTGTGTTAAAATAAAGCCTTATTCACAAACACTGAAATTTAATTTTTCACGTGTCATGATGTTTTTCTATTCATTTAAAAATGTCAGAACTATCTGGGCTATACAAAAACTGGCTAGTAGATCATGATTTGTCAACTCTTGCTCTAGAGAATAACCACCTGTTTTGCTGAGGTTCAGGAGTAGCAGTGCCTCAGACACGGAAAGTTGGTATGGGAGAATTTGGTGATGGAACTGCTTCTTAAACAGCCTTGTTGTAGCTGTATCCCATCCTCACTTCCTTGGGTATCTGGTGCCATCAATTCCAGGGCTGTTTGAGGAATTCCTCTGATTAAAAAAAAAAATAGGTTCTTTGTTTTCGTGACTGCCGGTTTAGGGTCAGCTTTCTCATGTGTGCCAAGTCCTTTGCCACTTGTCCGTGTGCTTTGCAGCTTGCGGAGGTGCTGTTCTCTCTACTCCCCATTTTCCTGTTGTTGTAAGTTTATGACTTAAAGAAAGAAAGTCTTCCAGCCGCATGCAAGAGAATGAAACCGGATCATTGTTTAACCCCATACACTAAAGTAAACTCGAAATGGATCAAAGACCTGAATGTAAGTCATGAAACCATAAAACTCAGAAGACAACATAGGCAAACATCTCCTGAATATAAGCAGGAGCAACTTCTTCCTGAACGCATCTCCTCGAGCAAGGGAAACAAAACCAAAAACGAACTCATGGAACTACATCAAACTAAAAAGCTTCTGTACGGCAAAGGACACCATCAACAGGACAAAAAGGCATCCTACGCTATGGGAGAATGTATTTGTAAATGACATATCTGAAAGGGGTTAACATCCAAAATGTATAAAGAACTCACAAGCCTCAACACCCAAAAAGCATATAACCCGATTAACAAATGGCAGAGGATATGAAGAGACAGTTCTCCAAAGAAGAAATTCGGATGGCCAACAGACACATGAGAAGATGCTCCACATCACTGATCATCAGGGAAACGCAAATTAAAACCACAGTGAGATATCATCTCACACCAGTAAGAATCGCCATCATTGAAAAGACAAACAACAAATGCTGGCGAGGGTGTGGAGAAAGGGGAACCCTCCTACACTGCTAGTGGGAATTAGTTCAACCATTGTGGAAAGCAGTATGGAGGTTCCTCAAAAAACTCAAAATAGAAATACCATTTGACCCAGGAATTCTACTCCTTGGAATTTACCCAAAGAATATAACTCAGATTCAAAAAGACATACACACCCTTATGTTTATTACAGCACTTTTTACGATAGCCAAGATATGGAAGCAACCTGAGTGTCCATCAGTAGATGAATGGATGAAGATGAGGTGGCACATACACACCATGAAATACTACTCAGCCATAAGAAGGAAACAAGTACTACCGTTTGCAACAACATGGATGGAACCGGAGGACATTATGCTCAGTGAAATAAGCCAGGTGGAGAAAGACAAAGGCCAAATGATTTTCCTCATTTGTAGAGTGTAACAATGAAGCAAAACTCAAGGAACAAAATAGCAGATTCAGAGACTCCAAGAAGGAACTAGTGGTTACCAAAGGGGAGGAGTGTTGGGGCCGGTTGGGGGAGAGGGAGGAGGGGTTTGAGGGGTATTATGTTTAGTACACATGGTGTGGGGGGGATCATGGGGTAGACAGTGTAGCACAGAGAAGACAAGTAGTGACTCTGTGGCATCTTACTACACTGATGGGCAGTGACTGCGGTGGGGTGGGGGTGGACTTGATAATATGGGTAAATGTAGTAAACACATTGTTTTTTCACTTCATAAGAGTGTATATCAATGATACCTTAATAAAAAAAAGTCCTCTGCTGTCATTTTATTGGTGTTCGAAGAAAGCAGGAAATATATTTGCTTGCTCAGTTCACCGTCTTGACTATGGAGAAAAATACAGATTATAAAGCATGGTTACATTTTGGTGACAATATATCTTAAAGAGAAATGTAGAAGTAAAATGATAGATTCTCTCTGTCATTTTTTTTCCTGGAAGGGTTTTGTGAGGACTCTTACACATTTTACATCGCTTGAGAATTTTTGATAAATTTTCAGGTTATCATCAGGGAAAATGAAAATTAAAGGGGTGTTTAACTTTTTTCTATTCTGGAAACATAAGCTGAGGGCTTGTATCTCTGTTTAATACTGTGAACTGAATCTTTAAAGTGAGACTTGCCATGGATCATCTGCGTATAACTGAGTTACCTGGAGTTAATATTTTTTTCCTGCTGCAGGTTAGACAAAGGTATTGACTTACAATTTTTTTTATAGACTACATAATTTGGTAGTTAGATTACTTATATAAAAGACTAATTTGTCAAATTGATTTATTTTTGTGATAGGTATTTGATCAGTATGTAAAGACAAGGGCAGAGGAAGAACGCAGGGAAAAGAAAAACAAAATAATGCAAGCCAAGGAAGATTTCAAAAAAATGATGGAAGAAGCAAAATTTAATCCAAGGTATATGGTTCATTACCGTCAAATAACAAAATATGTATGTATTTTCTCTTACTATTAGTTAATATATATATAAAATATATTTTGGATATTTGAACGTAAAAAACTTAGTTGATTCTTGGTTTCTGCCTCTCTAATCTATTCTTACTGTATTTCCTTGAGAGGAATCCAGGGTGCTCTGTAAGAGGCTTTGGCTTTCAAGAAGGGCACTTCTGTTTTAAAAGCTTCCTTGTAGGAATAAGTTTTCCTTCTCTACAAACTGGTAAATGATAAAGTGAATCTGTCCTGTGTTCTTGAAGTATCGCACAGAATAAACTGCAGAGCGGGAACATTAGTTTGATCGAATTGAAGTGGTGAAGGACCTTTTATTTAAAAATCTTTTAAGCGTCTAGAGTATCATTTTGCCTGACATTTCCAATTAATTGTTAATGTAGCAGACTGGCGAAAATGAGACATTTTAAACTTACGTGCCTTTTTAAACTAACATAATAAAAGCATCATTTATTAGGTATTTTATGTGCACTTAAAAACGTGTACCTTTAAAGCATCTCTGTGTATGTGTGCATATACACACGTAGACTTACATGATCTCATTCAGTCTTCAAAACAGCCCATATGATTTAGGTACTCCTACCTATTTTTCAGATAAAGAAAATAAGATATAAGCTAATAAGACATAATTTGGGTGACTTTGCCCAAGTGAATGGGGCCAAAGGATTTGTTAGATTCCAGTAGTAGTCCAGACAGGGAGAATTACTTTCTTATTTATGGCTTAGTTTTGGTGGTAGTGGAATTGGGTTGCTGTGAACATCTCAGAACATGGAGAATTTCTAAAACTGTAGGGTAGAACTGTGGAGTCTCTAGGTTAAATGGCGTTTTTTGTAAAAAGTTCATCTTGTTGAAACAGTTACTTTTTTTGTCAGTGGAGGTAGGGAAGAGTGATGTTGTTTGAGAAAGTATATTTGGTATTATTTTACATTTGAATATAAGAGAAACCCATTGGGGCATTAATAGAAATTTCAGAAAATAAAGCCAATAGAGTATTTGATTATGAAGAACATAATATTCTTCCAGGGATAATAAGAGTCTCAGATTCTCCAGGGGGTCTTGGGCGTTTTCTTAATCAGAAGGGGGAGTTCACAGGTCATAGTCGCTGCAACTGGGTTTTACGGTTAAGGAAATTTGAACATGGGCTGATACTACATGATGTGAGAGAATCCGTAATATTTTCTTGGGTATTGTGGTTATAGAGAAAAAAAGATTTACTCAGATGCATACTGAAGTATTTATAGGTGAAGTCTCATAATATTTACAGCTTATTTTCAAGTGATTTAGCAAAATACATTGATTTAAGTAAAACTATGGGCTGGGAAGAATTGAGACTCCAGACTTACTTCCCTTTATGGGTGAGATGAGTCAGTCGTGCTGTATGACCGACCTACCGATGTTCTTTTGGGACAAATAGGATTGCCGGAGTGACCTGTACTGTGCAGATTTCAGAA